TCTGGTGAACAGAGCAGTCCCTCACAAGCATTATCAGCCCTAAATGTCAATAGTGCCAAGGCTGAGAAGCCTTGAAATAACCAACCCAAAAGTATGAGATTTAAATAGTCCAACTGTTTTTGTAGTAAAAGTAGCAAATAATAATTAGAATGATTATCATTTGTTAAATACCTGCTATATGCCAGGCTCTTTATATTCACAGCTACCCAGTGTCCCAGTCAGGATCTGACCTCAATTTTGTTTGGGGCCAATGTCTCTACTCTTCCTCTTTAGCTATTTAATATAGGTGCATTTTCCCTGGACAAAATTGTCTACCCTCTGCTTCTTGTATTTTATATACTCGTAGATCAAATTAAGTGTTTAGAGCATATTAGGCAATATGCTCACAGGAGAAAGCCATGAGGCAAGAAGAGACTGCTGTGTCACTATGGGTGTGAAGCTAAAGGCATCCAGACAAACAGGCCTCCAGATCTATAACTTACTCATCGAGCCAAATGCTTAAGTAGGATGGTAGCACAGAGCCTGGCCCTTTTTAGGTACATAATAAATATTTGTTGGGAAATTTTTTTCATAATCAACAGTCTTTGGGTCAGCTTCAAAGGGAGCTAGGTTTCTCGATGATCTATTCTGTTATAATACATTTAAATTCCCCTAGGAGCAGTCTCCTGATCTCTAAGGCGCCTGATGTTTCCACAGGGGCGTTATCTTCTACTTGCCCTTCACATCTCTCTCCTCTTGCTTTTCACTCTTCCATTCTTAGTCTGGCCTGGCAAAGGCTCACCCCATTGCCCCTCTCTCTCCTCACAGCTATATTCTCACGGAACCCTCTACTTTAGGTACTCCCACTAGTCCCTGAATTATGCTCTTGTCAACAGTTTGCAGAATGAGGGCAGGACGTGTCAGAGTCTCCAGCCAAGGCATGTGCCATGTGGAAAAGCTTATCTGAGAACATGATTTCATATTTGGAAACGAGCAGGAAGAAAAAATACAACTCTTGTCTTTGCAAAACAGAGGACTGAAAGAAAAGCTTAGAAAAATCTTCTAGTCTGGTGATAACATAGGGGTTTATCGAATCTGGAATTGGTGTTACCATTTTATGCTTATGAAAAGAAGAGATTTAAAGAAAGAGTGTTGAGAAGCATGGCAATGTGTACTTCCTGTCTCATGTCCATGCCTTTCCTAGTAATATCCTTCTCTCAGCATGTGGATTTGTTGGAACCTCCCTGCTACCACCATGCAAAATCAGTCACTCCTCTGTGCTCCCATCATGGTTTGTTTAACCTCTAATATGTCAGCCATCAACCTTTACCTTTATCATATTAAGCTCTGATGTCGTAAACACTACTGAGAGAGAGTTGCAAGAGCACCTTAACCTCAGTGAGCCAGTTGGAGATCTTAGTCCATAGCCCTCAAATGTCAGTGTGCTAGGGGTCACTTAGACTGGATTCTAGGACTCCACCCCTAGAGATTCTGAACCTTGAGAGTTTGGAGGTGGAGATGTCAGGAATGTAACATTTTCATGTTTTGGTTTATAAATTACACTTTCGAAAGCACTATAGAACTTGGGCTTTGAAAATATCCTTACATGTTCTAGAAGCAAAATAAGCATTTTGATTAAGACAGTCTGGCTGCATTCAGTCACTGGTTTGTTCAGACATCAAGAACTAATTGCAGCGTGCCTTGTCCGGGGTGATGCTGTGCGGCAGCTATCCCTTTTGTGGTAATACCTGTCCACTTTCCTTTTGCCATTTGCTACTGCCCTCCTAGCAAACTCAGGCCCATTCTTAGGGTCCATCCTAGTCAAAGAGTAGCTGAAAAGGACTTAAGGGTGTATTTAGTGGATGCAGAGGAGTGGGGGGCAGGGGGAGGAGATTTGCATTTTTATAGAAATTTAAAATTCCTTGGTGTTTCAAATCATTGGAGGAAAAGGGAAGCATTTCTTTTACTGAATTTCTATTGTGCTCAGCACATGCCATGTATTATTTGATCCTCACAATAAGTCAGTGAGGTAAGTATAATTATTCCTATTTCACAGAGGAGGAAGCTGAGGCTCTTATCAGGTTACTCTCCATAGTTGGAAATAGGTGGAACCAGAGCTAGAACACAAGACTTACTCTAAAGGCCAAGCTCATTCTCCTCTACCTGGATGCCTGTTACCTCACTCTTCTTCAGGCCTTAGTGCTTGTCTGGACCGTCCTGCATCCTGGTACCTGCCCTGTTTGGACACAGTTCTCTGGGCTATCTCTAAGAGCACTGAAATTCTTCCATCCTCTTTCTTAACTTTCCTAGGGGGGAGTAAAAGACAACCTGGGTTGTCTTTTTTAAAATGGATGCTGACCTTTAGAGTGAGTGTATAGATCGAAAGAAAACTCAGATGCTGACTGTCTCACTACCTGGCCGCTAGTAAAGCTACACTCAGCTTTTATTGTAAACATACCTTCTTTCTATTTGCCCCCAACCATATGTTGGAATTTCCAACCAAATGTATTGTAAAGTGTTATTGATAATCTCCTGCTAGTCAAATCCAGTCTTTTTCTCAGGCCTTAGTTCCTGAACAATACATTCAGATACATTTGATGGAGAAGATCACTCATTTTCCATATTTGACGTAGTGATTGTTCATAGTTGAAGAAATTAAGGTACCGGGCCTCCAGCAGGTCTTTCTGCATGTGCTGCCATGAATATGACTCTTGTGTTATAACTTGGGATCAATTTGAAGAGTCTAGGATAGGTTCACCTGATTGAATCAGAAGATCCTTAAACCCACAAACTGTACCTATCACTTCATCAGAAGTCTAGGGATCTGGAGCATTGGAGAGGGGGACTATCTTCTTAAAACTTTCTCTGGCGGCCATGCCTTCAAACCTGCCCAGCTCTCTATTTCTTAGCCTCTTCCTCCTTCTTCTCCTAATTTTTCGTTGTGGTTATTCTCCAGGTAAACTGATCTTCACAGCTTCAGCTCTTTTATTCTCTGCACCTCTGTTTTCAGCTTCTCATCCAGGCTGCAGTTGTTCCTGGTTTCCTCTTGCCCAAAGGACAGTAAGTCTCTCAACATATTTCTCAGGTTAGTTCTCCCTCTCAACTCTACTTCTTCCATCATTGGTCCAATGACCCATTCTTCCTATGACCCAGGTTCAAAATCTGGCTTAACTTGATTACTTTGTTTTTTCTCCCAGGATAGCCATCTAGTTAGTAAAAAGAGTAAAATCTGGCTTCAAGGATTTGGTATCTTTCTTCATTGTATTTGGTATCTTCAAAGATTTGATATCTACATGGTATCTCTTCCTTTCCACCTCCTTTGTCCTAACCTCATAAGGCATTGATTCCTGCAACTATTTCCCAGATTCTATCTTACAGGGCTATTGGAGGATTGGTTGAAATAATAATAACAAGTATATGTTGAGTGCTTGTATGCGTTGTGCTAAGTATTCTACATTTGTTACTTTATTCAGTTCTTACAACCACCCTGTGAGGTTTGGTGCTATTTTCATCATCTTGCAAATGAGGAAACTGAGGTTTAGAGAAGTTAGATGACCTGTCCAAGGTCACACAGGTGATGAGTGGTATGAGTACTGTTTACTCACCCCATGCCTGTTTTGTTCCCGTAGATGCTTATAACTGGTAAATTCTGCTGCCTCCTAGTATATAGTATGATATCTAATAGAGGGCAATTAATAAATGTTTCCTTCCTTCTTTCCCTCTTTTTTTTCTGTCCATTACCTCTTCCCCAATCTATGCTGAAATGCTAGCTGTATCTGAGCTCCACCACCCTTCAAGCCTCTCCTTTCTCCTGCAGTCACACCTTCTCTCCACCTTTTCCAGGCATCTCCAAAGCCTGGATCTCCTGTGTTGTTGCTTTCTTGTTTTGTTTGCATATCTTGTCTTCTTAACTAGATAATAAGTCCTTGAAGGGCTTGTTAGCTGCTTCTTTTATGTGCTATCAAGTACTAGAATAGTTGACTTTAAATAGATTAGGTATTTGGTAGATAATTGTTAACTGACTGGATTTGGGCTTTATCTTGAGAGGAGAAGAATAGACTGGAATCAGAAGGACACACAACCCACCAGGATTAACTGGAGGGGTAAAACTGCTGGCAGACTAGTTAGGTAATTGTCACACATTTGGTCCAGTGAAAAGGCAAAGGTAGGAGAGAGGAGCACCAGAAGCCAGTAGTATATACTGACTCTCCTATTAACATCGTCCACAGCAACTGCCCTGTTACCTGGCCTTTCATTCTCTGAGCAGCAGAGCTAGCCCTGAAAGCTAGGGAGAAATGTTATGGTGGGGCGGTCTCCTGGTCTCCAGATCAAGCCTCCAGAGGTCTGCCGAGTATAATTGAGTATAATAGGGTGGGTGAATAGTGTTAGTACAGCTTGATTGAAGAGGTGGGGAAGAACCAGCAACATTTTCCTAGAGTCACTTTCTTTGCCTCCACTGGGGCAGATAACGGTCTGGGGGTTTGTGGCCACAAGATGTACAGTTCTGCCAACACATTTAATAGCTAAGACTGTAAGATCTGTTTGGGCCCTTCTGCTTGTCAACGGAGCACATCGTAGCAGCTTGCCATCCAATTCCAGGGTGTGATGGGAGCTGGGCCCTGGGGAATGCAAAGAGAAAAGTGTGGCCACTTTTCACCTGGAAATTCCACTCAAGAAAAAACCCTAAACGGAACCTAACCTGGACCTAGAGGGTGTAGATCGGGGAAACCGACTTCGTCGGGAGTTGGCCTGGTGGGAAGGAAGAGAATGTCGAAGGAAGAAGAACTGGTGAGTCTGACATTAATTAAACCCCGGCAGGGGACAAAACAAGGGAGGCTATTGCCCTCCTAACTCTCAGAGAGACACGTCAGCGAGCTCCGGGCGATTTCAGCAGGCAATCTCGCGGTCCGGGGGAGGGGTGGCGGGAGGCTGAAGACGGGCTCTAGGGCCCAGAGGCTGGGCGCCGGGGCGGGGGTGGAGTGTAGGGTTACAGTGACGAGCCCAGACGACCCTTCCCGACCTGCGCTCGGGGAGCGCGGGCGGCCGCGGGAGCTCGCGGGACGCTCTAGGACCCAGCAGCGGTTGTCGGGTTCGGGGTTGGAAGTGAAGCCCTGGCATTTCTCTTCTTCCTGTGTGCATGGGGTTGACTGTCGCGCGCCGCGTCCCCGCACTGCCCCACGCCATGCCCAGCGCGCTGCCCGGCGGCCGCCTTCTTCAGCTGCGAGACTGAACAAGCCATGATCGCCTCATGTGGAGGACAAAGTTGCGCCGGGGAACTTGTGAGTCTGCGGTGAAAGGTAACCCCCAGTCCCGGATTGGGGTGCAGGGACGACGCCTCCGAGTCTCCCAGATCTCCCACAAGAAGGACCGAGGCATCTAGTGCGCCCCCGCCCCTGCTGCTCGGGGCAGGGGGGGCCCCTCTTCGGGGGCTCGGGCTGAGACCCACCAAAGAGATCCGGAGAGACTAGGGCAGCAGGTTCCGCGCCAGGGGCCGGGAGCGCCCGCCACCGGAATCTTGCTTTCTTACTCAGATTTCCGCCGCTTCCCCCACCCCCCACCCCTTTTTTTTTTTTTTTTTTAAAGAGCAGATCTCTGTTCCCGCGCCACCCGGCAGGCCCCCGGTGTCGGCAGGCCGGGTAACAGAGCTGCGCCGCCCCACGTCCCATAGAAAACCGGGAAGTTGTGCCCGCCCGCCGGGCCCGGGGCCCCGAGGTGCGGGCGCGCCCCCGATGCTGGGGCTGGCCTTTCCGGAGGGGCGCTGCCATATGGCTGCGCTCTCAGAGACGCGCCGGCGCACGGGTCTCCCGATTGCCGAAGGAGGAGGCGGAAGAGGGTGGCGGGTGGCCGTTTCCCTCCGCGGGAGACAAAGGCGCGCGCACCAGCCCGCTCGACGGGCTGCGGCGCTCCCGGCAGGACCCTTCCTGCTGGCGGGGGAGCCTCGGCTCTGGCGGGCGGGGGCGACGAAGGGGTCGCGCCCGGGACCCCGAGGCTGGGATCGCGTTAGCTGCTACTCTTCCTTTGTTCTCTCCAGACAAGTTTCTTTGATAGAAACCAGGGAGTTACATCCAGCTCTCTCCCTTGCTGTTAGTGCTGCCTTTAAAGAAATGAAAAACATTAAACTTTCCAAGTGGAACTGTTTTTTCTTGGAATGTGACATTTGTGGCAGCAGGGAGATTGGCACGTCGGCCGATGACAGCCGAGCGGAGCCGGGGCCCTGCACTTAGGTAAGGGGCTGGAGGACAAGGCGTTGCAACAGACGAGCCCCGGCGCGCACCCACCTCGAGGGCCTCTGCCGCCTGGACTGAGCTCGCGGCGATGATGCCAAGTTTACCCCACTGGAACCCCATACTGAGAATCCCTACACCCCGCCCGCTGCTCCTGCGCCTTGCCACGCCCTACTCTCTAGTATCTTGATTGGTGGCTGGGAAGACTTTACCTTTCCATTTTTGTTTGAAGTTTTTTGACTTTTGGGCTTTGGTGTTGGTTTACTGTCTCCAAGTGGCAAATGCTTTGGAAAATGCCTGGTTTGCGTGTGGATCACCTGGGCTGGGGCTTCAGTAGACAGAGGCCCAGATTGTGCGGCCTCCAGAGGCTTTGCGGTTTGGACCAACATTTTGATCCCTTGCCATCCTGATAACAGTGCGGACATGGTGCTGCTTCTAAAATCCTTAGTGGTGGTGGAGGGGGAGGCGTGGGTAGGGGTTCCGGAGAGCCATTTGTGATAGCTGGAGATGCTTTTGAGCACTCCATATAATAACGATACTTGCCATAAGGGAGTAAAACCAGAATGGAGGGATATTAATAGCCACTATTACGAAAAATTTCCTTCCTTTTCGGGAAGTAGAAGTCAGGATTTGAAATGTTGAACAGTCATGGCTCTCTGCATCCAAAACTGGCCTGTGGGTCCCTGCCAAACTGATTAAGATTTCCTCTGGCTGCCCACCACTCCTGGCTGCCCACTACTCCTGGACCCTGACAGCGCCCTGTGCACGCCAGACCCTGGTTAACGATTAGGAGTCTCTCTAGATTGCAAGTTCTTGGAGAATCTAGACCAATGTGACATTTATTTCCCATCACATTGCTCTGAGCATTATAGTGCCAGTACTATGACTGCTCTTGATGGGAAGTATATGGGAACAGTACTTACATACGCTTTGAACTGTTTTACAGAGGAATAGAAAGGGTTGGAAACCACTAGTTTGACCAGAATGAAAAGGAGTAGGACAGAGAGTAGAGGCTTTAGAGATGCCTCTACTCAACCTGGTGAGGTGTGGTGCGCGGGAGTGTTTAATTTTTGGATGAATATACTTTTGCTTTTGCAAGATACATTTTTCGAGATAAAGAAACCCTTGTAAACGCTGCAAGTCGATAGGGGGGAGAGAAGGTGCTGTGCTTATAACTCCACTCCCCTCCCCCATCTTTTTAAAATGCATCGAAGTCTTGGTCTTTTAGGTTCTGTGCAGATGGTGGAGGGTGAAGAATACTAATGTACAGAAGGGCATGTGGAGATCAAAGCATTTAAAAATACATCTTTTCATGGGAGCTAATGGAGGACTTTCAGTTTAAATGAAATTTTAAAGTGCTGTCGTTAAGAAAGCACATGAATGCAGAAATATGAGTGATTTTATGGGGAGGCGCTCTGCTGATTAGACTGAGAGTGCCTGCCCTTAGCTAGTTAGCCTGGAGGCTTCTGTGGGTAGAGCTCTACTTTTTTTTTTTTTTTTTTTTACTGTCCACCCCTGTGGAGAAGCCTGGACCCAGGGCCTGGGGGAAGATGGCTGAACTAATTGAAATTAGATGGTAGTCTGGCTGGTGAAGAGCTCTGTCGAAAAGTACAGCCCCTAGGTACCAGTGCTGTGTTTCTTCATAGTAATTTGTGAAAGTGCTTCGAAAATGAGAAAGTACTACAGTAGTCCTCCTTTGTCCCCCAGCCTAAAACTGCGGATAGTACGGAACCCTATGTATACTATGTTTTTCCCTATACGTACATACCTATGATAAAGTTTAATTTATAAATTAGGCACAGTAAGAGATTAACAGCAATTAACTTATAAAGTAGAACAATTATAACAATATAATATAAGTTATGTGAATAGCTTTGGGGTCATTATTAAGTAAAATAAGGGTGACTGGAACACAAGCACTGCAATTCCAGGACAGTCCATCTGATAACCGAGCTAAGTGACTAATTAGCAGGTAGTGTATACACTGGGCAAAGGGATGATTCACGTCCTGGCTGACTTGAGATTTTATCACGCTGCTCAGAACAGCGGGAAATTTTAAACTTGTGAATGGTTTATTTCAATAATTTTTCGTTTAATATTTTCAGAATGTGGTTGACCAGGGTTAACTGAAGCTGTAGAACAGAGGGCTTTTAAAGAAAAAATAATGACTATGAAACAAGGGAATTGCTAGTGAAAATCGTAAAAATCTGACTTTCCAGGTCAATAAATTAAAAGGAGGTAACTTTGTAAGACCTGTTAGTAGTTCTGATACTGCAGAATTCTCCCACAGTAGCCCCTCTCCCCAATGTGGCTGTCTACATTTTAAATGCATATGGAAGCTCAGGTCAGGAAATTTTCTAGTGTTTTGAATAATTTTTCTCTTCCTATTTTTTTCATTAATTTTGGTAGTTTCTTATGTCCCAGAATTCACTAGGCAATAGCATACTTGAAAAGCAAGGGGTAACTTGGAGGTCAAGTAAGAGGACATATTTGATTATATGGTTTGTAGAAATAGTCTGAGGTTGTTGAGGTTTTTGTTTGTTTGCTTAGCAATTAAAAAAAATTGTTGGTTTGACTTTGTTTTGTCTTGGAGGAAAGGCAAAATTTAAATCTGGGCCATTTGTGGGTAGGTCAGTGCACTGCTTTTGCTGACAGGAAACTATGCCTGGGCTTGTTTCTGTGTTGGCACCATGCTGAGTTCTCTAACTTGGGAGGCCCCTTGGCCTCAGTTCTTGTGAAACCTTAGGGTATATTCATTCCAGGCACTTAGGACAGAAATCCTGGACTCCCAAAGAGGCAAAGGGGCTCACACATCAGGCATTGTTTTTCCTTTTGTGAGGGAAGGGTGTGGGGAAAATAAATCTAAAGGGTTAGGAAATACGAGGTGTGATCAAACAATATGGTGAATGTTTAAATTAAAAAAAAATTATTACAGTAAAAAACACATTGCCATTAATCCCCCTCAAAATACTCCCTCTTGCTTCGAACACACTTATCCCATCGTTCTTGCCACTTTCTGAAGCAGTTCTGGAAGTCCTCTTTCGTGAGTGTCTTTAGTTGTGCTGTTGTGACTGCCTCGGTGTCCTGAATCATTTTGACTTTGGGGAAGAGCCAGAAGTCGCACGGTGCCAGATCCGGTGAATAAGGTGGATGAGGACACACTGTAATGTTTTTATTTGATAGAAATTGCTGTATGCCAGAAGTGATGTGTGACACGGAGCGTTGTCATGATGGAGGATGATTTACATCACACTTTAAAACACACCTCTCAATCAATCGTGGCTCACACCCGACTGACTGCACTGAACAAGTTGAAACTTGTCACACACTGTTACTAAGGTTCGATGCTCCACTTCCTGTATTGAAGATCCCTGCCTTTCCATTGAATGGCACACAGCAGCACCATTCACTGTATTTTTAAAATTTTTATCACACCTTGTTAAGACTCTTTACAATTTGACTTAACCTTTTAAAAAATGAAGTCATATAGTCCTGCTGTGGATGTTTAAATTTGCGTTTGGGACCTTATTGGCCAGTAGTGCAGCTATATACACCTCTTCTTTGTTTATTTTATTTTTAAGTAAAATGTCTATAGTTTGTGTGGTGTCTTTTTTTTTTAACTTTTTGTTTTAAAATGATTATTGCTTTATAGGAAGTTGCATAAACAGTAGAGAGGTCCTGTGTACTCTTTACCCCATGGACAACATCTTATATAACCATATACAATAATGGAACCAGGAAACTGACATTGGTACAATCCAGAACATATTCAGATTTCGCCAGTTTTACATGCACACGTTTGTGTTTGTGTGTGTATACTTCTGTACATTTTTTTCACATGCGTAGATTCCTGTAGCCATCACCACAATGAAGATACAGGACTACTCCATCACCTCAAGGATCTCCCTCGTGCCACCCCTTTATAGTCACATTGTCTCTAAACCCTCGTAACCACCTATCTATTCTCTGTAGCTATAAATTTGAGAGTGTGACATAATAAGATTATGTGTCGTATGTGACCTTTTTCATTCAGCATAATACCCTTGAGATCCATC